TCCAGTTCTGGGCACTGCACTTTAAGAAGGATGTGGCCTGCCTTGAGAGGGTTCAGAGGAAGGCCACCCGCTTGGTTGGAGGGCAACAGAGCAAGCCCAATGAGGAGAGGCTGAGGGACCTGAACCTGTTCAGCCTCAGCAAGCGGAGGCTGAGGGGGGATTTGGTGGCTACCTACAAACTTGTTAGGGGAGATCAGTAGCAAATAGGAAGGGTCCTATTCCCCCCAGCAGCACCTGGGGTGATGAGGAACAATGGCCAGAAGCTGCTGGAGAATAGGTTCAGGTTAGAGATTAGGAGGCACTATTTCACTGTTAGGGTGGCTAGGATCTGGAACCAACTTCCTAGGGAAGTGGTCCTCGCTCCTACCTTGGGTGAATTCAGAAAGAGGTTGGACGAACACCTGTCTGGGATTGTGTGATCCCAGCATGTGCTCTGGCCAGTGGCAGGGGGGTTAGACTAGATGATCTATTCAGGTCCCTTCTGACCCCTGACTACTATGAAACAGAACAAAATAAGATACAGTATGCTAATTAAGTTTGTCAAACAGGAAACATGCCCGATTGATGCACAGTTGTCTTATTGCTGTAAGCTGCAAAAGATGCATCTTTGGTATATAAGGTATGTGTGTGGACGCACAGATTTCTTTCATGTAGACTAGTAGATTTAAGCTTTCAGTTTTAGTGCCACTTCCCAACAGTAAGTGCTAGAACTGAGGCCTCAGTAATTTTAGCAAATTTGGTTATATTTTGGGTTATATTTTCCTCTCCCTTTTTACTTGGGCATGTGGGATTTGGATTTGAATGATCTGTGCTTTTTTCAAATCTTAAGTATCTGTTTCCTCCCACAACACACGGTGTATTGTTTTGAAAGCAGCACCTGGCAATAGAAATATGCATTAAGAAGTTGTATGGTTTGTAAGTCTCCCTATCCCCCAAAGAAAGGCTTGCCTTCGTGGTTCTAAGTGTGGTTCTGCCACAAGCAGTCTTTATGCCAACCCCTGGGCAGCGCATCAATTTGAAGTAGTCTACAGATGCTTAAGTCAGCAGTGTGACTGCATAGAAAATTTTTGCTTAGACCTACTGTTTTCCCCTGAGTAACCTTTGACTTGTGCCAGCCATCTTTCTGTGATATATTTTTCGATGTGGACTACACTTTCTTTAGGCTGATAACTTGGGCTAGAGTGAGAAATACCACTGGTTTAAGACTGCTGAGAAGATGGATGACTACAGGTCAAAGCTACTTACCTTTCTTTGCTGGTGGAATTTCAAGTATGGATGTGGGAGTATGACTTTGACTTGTGAATTTGACTTCTCTTAGTTATTTTGTGAAGACCAGCATGGGGTTTTTAGAGCAATCTTTCCATGATCCATTTGTGAAAGTAGACTTGTATTCTAGGTTCATAGGCATACTTCCAAAACTGTTTTCTTAATGACGGTAGAGGTCAGAAGGGTTTTATTTTTATTTGTTATAAAACATTGATCTTATTGACCCAAGTTCCACCCAGTCCTTTGCATTTGGAGAGGATGGTGAGAGTGCGAGAAACATTAATAGTCTGGGACTATTTGCTTGGTTGTATGTCACTTTGGGTAAAGTTTTATTGTCAATAGCATGTTTTCCTCTTCTTGGTTTCGTTGTCACTTTGACCAGCATGTCCTGATAGGATCTTGATTTTTGTACTGTGGAAGTTTTAGCTGATTCTGGGTTCGTTTCAATGCACTTCTACATTGAAAATCAAGTCTTGTGATTGTCTCTGAGCATTTTCTTCTGTATCCTTTGTTCATCTGCAGCATATGGATTGGACTTGTTCCCCCTTAGCATCTTGCTATCATACTTGCATATGCATCTCATTCACTGCTTTTAACAACATGTATTCTTGGAAACAAGATAATCTGAAATTGCGCTTTTTATAAAATAGAGAATAAATGGCAGACTAATTTAGTGTATTTAAATTACATTTCATATGCTGTATCTCTGAATTTTAGCAACACCTTTTTCTTCTGTTGCTTGCAGGTGGCGACAGACAAGGTTGCAGGAAAGCTGAGTTCTACTTTCTCATGGGTGAAGAACACTGTATCGCACACTGTCAGTCAAATGGCCAGTCAGGTGGCAAGTCCATCTGCCTCATTACATACTACATCCTCCTCTACCACTCCCTCTACACCAGCACTATCGCCATCCTCACCATCACAGTTGAGTCCAGACGACCTAGAATTACTGGCTAAACTTGAAGAGCAGAATAGGTGAGTGGGAAACTTTGCTTTGGTATCTTGCTCTTGAAACAGTAATAGCAAGACTTAAAAATAGATTTGTTGAAAGTTCATGATAGAGCCTTTTAAAAAAATAATGCTAAAGTGTTTTGGTAGAATGTTAAGCCCAATTGAAGACTGCTACATATAGGAACAAGTATTTACATTTTGAATATTCTTAATCTGAAATTTAAGAAAAACATCTCTTTTTGTAGCACTCCAAAGTGTAACATTACCTTTTATGGCTTTCTAACAGTATTAACATTGTTTCTAGAATTATGCAAAGAGTTGATGCTGGAGCCATGTGATTATCTGGCATGCAGTTTGAAAGGGAGTGTTTTTACAGACATCTAACTTGTTCTTTTCTTCCTTATTTAATAATACTGTTTTGTTTTGTTTTTTTTTTTAAAGCTGCCTGAAAGGGTGGGAGCGGTTCCGTAGCAAGAGGGGGGAGGCAAGGGGGAGATGACTCCCCCCCCCGGGTGCTGAAGCAAAGGGGTGCCAACAGGCACTGCCCAGCAGGGCTTGGGATGGAGCCATCAGTGACTTGTTTGTGGGGTTTGGGGGAGAACGGCTCTTGCTGCTGCTTGCGCTGTCGGGCTAGAATTGGGTGGGGAGGGCGTGTTCCCCCTGGATCTGTGCACAGGGCGAGGGTGGGCTTCTGCTGTGGGCTTGCCCTGGGAGCCAAACTTCCTTGCTACGGTACTGGATGGGAGCTTGTGAATCCTATCTAGGTTTAGTGTTATACTCCCCCTATATTTACAGCTTACTTCTATTACCAGTGTCTTTTTCATTTTAGTCAACCCCTTGACATGCATTCTGTGTACCACAGTAGGTACTGGACAGAACTGCCAGAATAGTTGAAACTACCACCCTTCAGTACTTCTGAATATTCAATTACAGTTTGAGTTAATACTCAGTCTTTCAAAATATATACATCATCTTAGGGTGTGATGTTAGGCTAGGGGTTGGCAACATTTTTGGGCAGAGTGCCAAAAACACCTGCAACCTGGAGTTATAAGACATTTGGTATGCCAGGGATGGATGGTGGTGGAGCTGCAAGAGGCCCAATCCTTGTGGCAGGAGAGTCCCGGCCCCTTCCCTGCTGCCTGCCCCAAGGTATGCATGCATCTGCCACTAGCAACAAGTTGCCCCAGGGCTCTAGGGACCCTGGAACAGCTTCTCCCGGCCTCCAGGCTGCCTGCCACAGCTGGCCCGGGCAAGCCAGTGTTATCTGCAATGGAGCCCAGCCTACTTGGTGGGGAGACTGAAAGCAGCTGCATTGGGATCCTTGAAATTCCAGCCTGGCTTGTTACTGGTGATGGCTGCATGTGCGCCTTGAGGCAGACAGTGGGGAAAGGGCCTGGGCTGCACTGCCACAACAAGGATCAGGTCCCTTGTGGCCCCCACACTGCTCCAAGGTGCACCTGCCAAGCAAAATGCCTTTGTGTGCCACACTCTGGCACGTGTGCCAGGGCTTGCTTACCCCTGTGCTAGGCCTACAATTTAGAATAAATGAAGCTAAGTAAGGATTCTGAACTGCCTTATGCAGACATTCATCATGGAGTAATGTCTTGCATGTGATTATCTGCTGCTGCCTGCAGTATCATAGTATATCATCCACAGAGCAAAGTAATCTCCAGTATCTCCTGAAGACAATATTTTTCAATCACTGCCAAAAGCAAATGCTTTATCTTGCTTTGTCTGGCTTTGTGGCTTCTTCAACACCTGCCTCATCTAGGTTCTTGATGCAGGGTCTCTGTCTGATTCAGCTACCAAATAATTGTTGATTAGCTGTTAGAAAGCAGTTAATTTTCTTTGCTATTAAGGTTGTACCTTGCTGTTGAGCTTACTGGTACAGGCTAGTTTCACAAGCAGCTTTTGTTTGCGAGTCAGAGCTGCTTTTTCCAAACCTTATTTTTTCATTTCCTTACCAAATATGGCTTTGGGGGCTTCCAATTTTCTTTAAGCAGTGAACGATTGAGGATGCAGAGATCTTTTAATGCTGATTTAATAGCAACTTTTCAAAAGTTTAACAATTTAACTTTAACTTAAAATATGGCACCTCACAAACCAGGTTGTCTGGTTTTATTTGGTATGGGTTAAACCCTGCTCTAAGGGCTGCTTTTTCTTTTTTGTGAATTATGGTCAGAGGTTAAGATATTTGGTCACAGTAAACCTGATATTTGAGAACATGCTTTTGCAGGTTTCACAAAGAATACAATTTCAAACAGAGTTGAGGCATGTGTCTTGGAGGATTTTGTGCGTTTAATGAAACTTCGCCATTTTTTTACTATAATCACCTTTTGGCAGTAAGGAATTGCTCTCTGAACTCACTGTTTCTGCTCATCAGAAGAACTACTGTTGGTGTAAATATTAAGATTTAGAATCCTCAGGCTTTGCTAGTTCATAGGTAAAGATGGGGGATGTAAAGGATTTAAAGACCCAGAACCACAAAAGATCAAAAGTGAGAAGAAAACTCAGATTTTCTGTAATCAGATTCTACAATTTTAACTTATTGTGTTACAAAGCTGTCTATGTATTACTGTAATCCCCTAAGTACACTGATATGGTTCAGTCCAGAGTACCAAAGGATCTGTTTGGGGATAGTAAATCATTTATAAAGGTTTTACATGAAATAAAGCTGTTTGACTTGGTAGTGTTTAGTATCTACTTAATTTAAAGAAACTACATATCCAAGGGCAATGAATTTAACAAGGTAAGGTCCAAATTATAATAGAAATTTTGTCAATTTTTTTAGAAACATAGGAAAACTTAAAAAATGAATTCTTAGAGCTGCGATATTGTGTTTATAACTTTAACATGTTTGTTCTGGACTCCATTAGGTGCATGTTTTTCTGTCTGAAATTACTTGGCATCTGATTTTTGTTTAGGAAGATACAGCTTGAAAATAGACATTCTAGTTTTTTAAATTTTTGTAATGAATCGTAGATCAGGATTTTAAATATTTAGTGTTAAAATACTTTAAATGTAAAATATTTAAAACTAATTTAAAATTCATTTGTAGGTACATGCACAGCAACTGAATAGTGATCCTGGGCAGTTTCTCCCCCTCCCCCTCCCCCTCCAACTTTTGAGTTCCTTTTTGTGAAAAACAGACTGTTCTTTAATTTGTACTGAATGCAGCTTTAACTTTTTGGGACCATTCAGGCAGTGCTGTTTCTTTTAAGCCCTGTCCCCAACTTGAAAGTTTGTACTTGCATGTTGTCTTCACAGATTAAATCACTTTCTAGAATCTGCTTTGTTTATAAAATGACTAACTTGCTCAAATATTAAAGGGTGAGCTGAGAAGGGGAAAGGCACTGTAAATAACTGAATGTTTATTTTAGTTGAGAGAGCCAAAATGTTGTAGGTGCACTGAGATTATAACCATGTATGTGCACAACAATGTGGATTATAAATTTCTGAAAAAATAATAAAATGGCGATTTGACTTTCACATTTTAATGTAGGGGCATAAAAAGTAACTCAACTAATTATATCTCTAGATTTAATACCACCTGCCATTTTCTTACAAATATATAGATCTAACTGAAAACCAACACTAGAGATTTGAAAGTAGTTTGAAGTTTCACTTCTAACCAAAGCCTGGACTAAAATGATGATGATGGTAAAGGTAATAGTTTCATAGTTTCTAGGGTCGGAAGGGACCTGAGCAGATCATCTAGTCCGACCCCCTGCCATGGCAGGAAGAGCACTGGGGTCAAATGACCCCAATAAGGTGGTCATCCAACCTCCTCTTAAAAACCCCCAGGGTGGGAGCCTGCACCACCTCACATGGAAGCTGGTTCCAGACCCTAGCCGCCCTGACCGTGAAGTAGCGCCTCCTGATGTCCAACTTAAACCTTCCCTCCGCCAGCTTGTGACCATTGTTCCTGGTCACTCCTTGCGGCGCTTGGGGGAACAGGGACTCCCCCAGCGCCTGCTGACCCCCCCTAACCAGTTTATAACAGGCCACAAGATCCCCCCTCAGCCTTCTCTTTTGAAGGCTGAACAGGTTCAGGTCCCGCAACCTTTCCTCATAGGACCTACCCTGCTGTCCCTTGATCATATGAGTGGCCCTCCTCTGGACCCTCTCGATGCTGTCCACATCTCTCTTGAAGTGCGGTGCCCAGATAATAATTACCATTATTATTTTTTACGTACTTCATTGTCAGTTGAAGATGAGACCTTAGAGCCCTGTTCACTGGAGCTCTTTACAAAATTAGTAGTCACAGCAGCAACCCATTGGTAAATGTAATGAATGAGGTAAAAAGCTATCTTGGGCAAGGAGGTTCTCTGCAGCCATGACTCCCCTATGGTGGCCAACTCCATCAGCACAAGGCAAAGTGTTGGAGGATATCCTAAGCCCTAGCCTCCTTGGAACTCCCTACAGGAATTGCTGCAGCTGCCAGCAAATCTTCTGATGTCCCTCACCTCTCAACATCCTGGGAATTCTCAGGTTTGAGCTATGGATTCTACTATAGCCAATGAATGGCTATTAACCTGTTTGTTCTTGCTTCCCTCTGCTTGCTAAATACCGTAAGTTCAGGTATATTCTACTCTTCTGTGCCCTTCTCCATCAATGCTCTGGTCCTTTCTCTTTTGTTTCTCAGGCCTTTATCCTTACTTTGTTCTCCTTTTTTTGCACACTCAGCCCTATCCTGTTGCTATCCTTCTTATTGTTCAACAAAAAGCTTGTAGTATCCCATAACTGTTAAAATGGCAAGCTGTTCAGGGTAGTCACAGCTTGCACAATGCCTGTTGCAATGGGGATCAATCCTGACTGTGACCTGCAGGTTCTACTATAATGCAAATGCATAATCTGTGATGGTTCTAAACACAGTCAGCATCAGTTTACTCATCTCTGAAATTGGGGAACCTATTTGTATCTCACAAGGGTACTATGAAATAGGGCTGTGCGAAGCTTCGGTCCCTGATTCAGTCTGGCTGATTCAGTGGCCAAATTTCCGAATCAGAATAGAATCGGAGGACCCTTTAATCTCTCTGAATCGAATCGGAACCCTTTGAATCGATTCGGAAAGATTCGGCAATTCGGACATAGACACAGCTTTAAATGTTTTTTCTAGATACTTCTGCGGCTCATGAATGCTAGGGTGCACACAGTGTCCCACAGCAGTATGGGGGGTTCCTCAGCGCGCTCGGCAGCAGACCCAGAAGTGGACCAGAAGCACTTCTGATCCACTTCTGGGTCTGCTGGAGAGCATGTTGGGGTCCCCCCTGCCTTCCCCCCCGGCTCAGCGACTGGGGCCTCCTGGGTCTGGTGGGGCACCCAGGGTCCCCCTGCAGCTGATTGCTGAACTGGGGAGGGTGTCTGTGTGGGGGGCCCTGGCAGTCTCCCTGGCAGACCCATAAGTGGATCGCAAAGGTCTCTCCCAAAGGATCACAAGAGTCTCCGGCAGACCTGCTAGGCTCCCCTGCGCTCCTGTGGGAGGTTCCATCTGCCCCAGCATCGGAGCATTCAGGAGCTGTGCCTGGGGTACCTTGAGGTATGTAGAAAAAACATTTAAAGCTGTGTCTGTGTCCGAATCATTGATTCTCCAAATCAGTATTGAATATTCAGATTCAGCCAAATTGAATCGGGGACAGTGATCCGAATCAAATTACTGTTCCCAGTTCGTGCCATATCCGAATTGAATAGGGCTCATTTTGCACACCCTTACTATGAAATGCCTCACAGATACTATGATACAATATAAATGGGACCATAGAAAAGCCTTAGGCATCCTGGAATATCAGATTAGATTAATTTTGGATTAGTGTAAAATTTCTAGGATAGTGACATGTATGTGCCTGTTAAATGCCTCATCCAAAGCTTTGATATGGATATATGAATCATAATTTGTAAATAATTTATTTTGAGGCATTGGGTGCTCCAGTATAGTGTCACAGAATCATAAAAATTAAGGGCTGGAAGGGACCTCGAAAGATCGTCAAGTCCAGCCCGCCTGCTCTGGTCAAGAATACTGCTGAGATCAAATGATCCCAGCAGGGTGTCTGTCCAGTCTCCTCTTGAAGACTTCCAAGGTTTGGGACTGCACCGCCTTCATGGGAAATCTATTTAAGATTTTGGTTACCCTTATCGTAAAGAAGTTCTTCCTTGCATCCAACCTGAAACCATCCTCTAACAGTCTATGGCCATTGCTCCTTGTCCTCCCCTGCTGCACCCTAGTGAACAGTTTTTCTCCCAGCTCCCAATACTCAGCCTTTACGTACTTAGACAGCCACCAAGTCCCCCCTTAGTCTTCTCTTCCTCAGGCTGAACAGTCCCAGGTCCCTTAGTCTTTCCTCATAAGGTTTGTCCTCCAAGCCCTTATTCTTGTGGCCCTTCTCTGGACCCTTTCAAGATTCTCCACATCTTTTTTGAGGTGCAGTGTCCAGAACTGGACACAGTACTTCAGCTGGGGTCTCACCAGTGCCAAGTAGAAAGGAAGTATAACTTCCTTAGCCCTGCTCGTGATACATCAGCTAGTGTATCCCAGTATCCTGTTAGCTGTTTTGACTACAGCATCACAGGAGAACATGACTCTCATGTTCATCCTGTGATCAGCCATAATCCCAAGGTCCCTTTCAGCCATCGTGCTGGCCAGAACATCTCCTAACCTATATTCATGTATCTGGTTACTTCCCCCCAGATGAAGGACTCTGCATTTATCCTTATTAAACTGCATCCGGTTCCACTCTGCCCACCTTTCCAGCTTGTCCAGGTCCTCTTGGATCCTCATCCTATCCCCTAGTATAACAGCTTTTCCCCATTACTGAATATTGTCCACAAACTTGCCCAGCGTGCTTTCCACATTCTCCTCTAAATTGTTGATAAAGATGTTGAACAACACAGGGCCTTGAACTGAACCCTGCGGGGTGACACTAACCACCTTCCACCAGGACTATACTGGCTCATCCACTAATAGTGTCTGGGTTCGACCCCTTAGCCAGTTCCCAACCCACCTGACTGTGGACTCTGCCAGCCCACAATCCCCCAGATTTTTTTTATAAGAGCCGCATGGGAGACCATATCAAAGGCCTTTTTAAAATCCAAGTAAACACAGACCAAACCAACAAAATGAGCAGAATGGTTAATGAAAATGACAGCCATTGGGAATGTAGGAGGTGGCTTCAACAGCCTGTTCTGGGTTTGCTTTCTTTTTCCCAAAATTGTCCATTTTCAGTGCTTTGACATTTGGCACTGCCATTTGGGATATATACTTTCTTTAAAGCTGCTTATGCTCCAGCTGAGATCCTGGGATAGGAGACTTGGGTTTACCTAGATGAAAACAGAATTAGAGCCCTCTTGCTGGCACCTATGCTTCCAGCTTCACTAGTAACCTGTGCGGGGGAGTACATTTTCCACTTGCTCATGCAATACATTAGTAAAATATAATTTGTCTCAATTTACCTTTTTGTTTTCTGAAAGTCTAGTTTCACAGCCTCTAAAATGATCATGATGAAATTGATTTGAAGTGGTGCTACTGCTGCAAAAGGCATAACATATACTTTCCTGTTCACTGTTTCCAGTTGCTGTAAAACTATAGTGATTTGGACCATTTTTTTTTTGTCCACAGATTGTGGATTGAGAAGAAGTAGGAATACAAAGTTTTGCACTTCTTACTGTATTTAAAAAAGTTACAAAGATTGTTCCAAGGGACCTTTAGATTACATTCCCTGGAAAGATAGAGAATGAGTTGATTTATTTCCTTTTAAGTAATCAGATTATGAGTAATGCACTCTAACATGGTTAGAAGTACTTTCTGTGTAACTACCTGCTTGTATATTACAGATTATTAGAGACAGATAGCAAATCCTTGCGATCTGTAAATGGGTCAAGAAGGAATAGTGGCTCCTCCCTTGTATCTAGTTCATCAGCTTCTAGCAACCTCAGCCATCTTGAAGAAGATTCCTGGATCCTTTGGGGGAGAATTGTAAATGAATGGGAAGATGTACGGAAAAAGAAAGAAAAACAAGTTAAGGTATTATTCAGCTTAGTAGGATACAGTTATAATGTAGTAGTATAACCAGTGGTCTTTATTTTCCAGTTGATCCTCCACGTTTTTAGGAAAAAACTATGATAGAAACTCCTAATTGAATTTATTTTCATTCTAAACTACAGGTGTGGGTAAGTAAATGTTGGATTTCTCATCTATACCCTGTAAACATTGGTTGTTTTTTGTTTGGTGCCAGATTTACGTGTGTTCTGAATACCCAACATTTTCAGTTAAATCTTCCATTAGAAATGGATTGGAAAGTAGGGAAATTCCTCAGTATTTTCTTAATTTCATAAATGGGGAATATATTTCATATCAGGGGCCAAAACACTTAGGCAAGGGTCTATGACTGTCATCTGTGCAGGCAATGGTACTTCAAGTCTTTTCCCACAGAGTATCAGTCAAAAAGATTTCTAAGCTATTTGACTGGGGTAAGTAGGAATAATTTCATGGCAATTTCAATCAATTTTTCAGACTCCTAAATGTTAATCTTCCATTAAAAACTCATCCAGAGAGAACTGATGAGAGCAGTGGTGCTCAACTTTTTGGCCCCATGCATCTGGATCTTGGCTTGTACTGCCCAGACTGGGTCCTGTACTGCCCTAGACCAGTGTGCCCGATCTAGCACACATGGCCACATTATCTGCTTGCAGGGCTCCTCATGGGTCTGGAAAGTTGGCGGCTGGGGAGCAGCAATTAATGCTGCCACTGCTTCCTTAATGCCAAATATTTGGACCCATGAGGAACCCTGCAGGCTGGATGACACCACTCTGGGGTCTGGGGATTGACCACCCCTTGACTAGAGTTTTGCTTTCCATCGCTGTTGTATAGAACTATGTAAAGTAGTGAAATAGGTTTGATTGCACTGATGCTGCTACACACAGCTATATGTTAGAACTCTTCTTAGAGATGAGGACCCACATCTCTCTTCCCAGTAGTTTAGGAGAGAATGAATTGGTGTCTTACCTCCTGCCATGTACAGTATCAATTTGTGTCTACTAAGTCTAAGGCCAGGTTCTCTCTAAGCAAAGAGTTCTAACGTATAGTTGTGTGTAGCAGTATCAGTGCACTCAAACCCATTTCACTGCTGTACATAGTTCTATACAACAAAGATGGATCAAACATCTAAAACTTGAGTGGTAAAGCACATAGGTTCTAGGGCCTTACACCCCAAGGTGAAATTAGTATTAGGTGCCTAGGCATACTATGTAGTACATGGAATGGTAGAAATCGCAGAAGAGGATCCAGAATAGTTGGCATGCTGAGTAGGGGTGACTTGAAGCACATCACTAGGAAATGCTAACAACTAGGTATGTCTGAAACCTCTCCCCTTTCTAGAGGTTAGGTGCCTTACTCAGGGCTGCAGAAGATGCTTCTGCCCACTTGAAATCCACAATTCAAAATAGTCTCTTTCAGCCTTTCAGAGAACTGAGCAAGGCTTACTCTTTTTTTCAGATACGGGAGATTGTACCAGTATTTTCTATAATAGCCTATGGGTCAGAACATTCACCTAGGATTGGGAGACCTTGTATAAAAGCCACGTAATTCACATTCTACGAAAAGGCCCAGCCATGAGGTTAGGGGCTATTCTGGCATGGGAGCACTCTTAGTCTGTACTGCTGAATTCTCTATTTCACAGTAGCTCAGCTTCAAGAATCATGGAGCAAGAGAGAGAATGCAGGAAGGAACATGTCTTTAGTTTGATAAAAAGCATACAGAAGATTCCTTTGAGCAGGAAGCAGAAGTTATGAGTCCCTCTCTTAAATGGATGCCCTAAGGGTAAAATTGTGCTGTCTCTAGCCCAGTGAACCTTGAATTCTTTGTTGCATAATTGAACAACTTCAACTAATGGAATGACCCCCTCCAAAAACAGCCTTTAGTTTTATGGTTAGAGCACTCATCTCAGTAAGCAGAAGAGGTGGGTTTGAACCTTCCTTGGGGTGAGGAGGGCATTGAAGCTGGGGTCTTCCATTTTTTTGGTAAATGCTCCAATCACTAGGGTGTTTATAGGAAGCTGGGTATCACTGCTGCCACTACCTTCCCCCTGCTTTCTGTAATAATCTAATCCTGTTGTGTTGGTGGTATTCTTTTAGCATGCCTCTGCATTGGGCCTTCCATGGCTCTGGGCCCTTATCTCCTACATAAAAATGGATAAGAGTGAAGATGCTCAGGCTGGGGTTGTTGTCTTGCAGAGAAGCAGACTTATAGATGTCTTGAGTACTATGAAGTCAAACAGGAAGGCCTCCAGTGAGTTTTAGATATCTCTAATTGGGTGTCAGCCCTTGGCACAGAGCAGGAAAAGCTTGGGGTACTGTTGAAGGGGGTTTAGAGAAATGGTTCAGGGACAGAGAAATGCAGGTAGAAAAGGGGGTCTGTTGGGCAAGCTGTGCCACAGAAAATGGATGAGACCTGGGGGAACACCTATAAGTAGGCATCTAGTGTTGGTGCCCCCTGTCACCATGTACTGCTGCACCCTGGATCCAGTCTCCCTGTGACCTCGCCTATAGGCCACAGGTTGGCAGCCTCTGTTCTGTGTTATTCCATTGTGAGTGGTTGGATGGGCAGTGAAGATGTAGAGTAATAGGAAAGTTGAAGTAATGGGGGGGGT